TGATCAGCTTCTCAGCTTCTCCTTCTGAATATTCTCTTTTTCCTGTTTTTTTTTTTGGGGGGGGACACTCCTCTATTGTGGTTTTCTTCCTAACTACTTCACTGATCTTTCTCAGTCTTCTTTGAAGGATCATTAAAATGTAATCATGATATAACAGATTTAGAGCCAGAAGAGACCTTAGAGCACTTTCATTTTACCACTTTACAGATGAAGAAACTGAGGTATAGAGAAGTTGTCTGTAGTTCCACAGCTAGGAAGCATCTGAAGTGGGATTTGAACTCAAGACTCCAAGTCCAGGACTCTACTGTCTGCTACTTAGCTGCTTTTAATCATTACTCGAATGTAAATTCCTGAAAATACAGGGACTGTTTACCTTTTTTTTCCTTTGTCTCCTTAGTACTTAGAACAGCCTGGAACATAATAAATGCTTAAGAAATGATTGTTGATTGGTTGATCAATATCCACATTCCACCCCCTATCTGTGGGTCTGCCCTATGACTGTCCTGGGCTATCTCTCCTTCTGTCTGTCTGTACTCTCAGATACTATGATCTTGATTATCTTCTCTTTGTAGATGCCCCCCAAATGTATGCTTTCCGCCTTCATCTCCTTTCTATGTTCTAATCCTACATCTTCAGCTGCCAGTTAACTTCTCTCTCCATGTCCCATAGACATCTCAAACTCAGACTGTCCAAAAACAAACTCTTTATCCTTCCCCCTCAAATGCATCCCTTCTCCTAACTTCCCACATTCTTATTTCTGTTGAGGGCACAGTCATCCTTCCATAGATTGACTGTAGGGTCCTACATTTAGAGCTGGAAAGGATCTCAGAGGTCATTTTATTCAATCCTCTCATTTTAGAGATGAGGATACTAAATGACATAGTCAGTTTCACAGCTGGTACTAGAGACAAGAGTTGAATAGGCAGATTCTCCCAATTCCAAGTCTGATGTTCTGTTTTCTATGCCACACTGTCCCTCTCTAGTCACCCAGATTTGCAATCTAAGAGTCGACCTCAACACTTTACTCTCATTCATCACCTCTCTTCCACATATCCAATCAGCTGTCAGGTCTTACTGCCTCTAGCTCCCCAACATCTCTCTCATCCATTTCTCTTTCTCTACTCAAGTCATGACAGCCCTAATTCAGGCCCTCATCACCTCTTGCCTAGACTATTGCAATAGACTCTTAATTGATTTCCTTGCATCCAGTTTCCCTCCTCTTCAAATCATCTTCCACATAATTGTAAAAAGTTATATTCCAAAAGCTCATATTATGCTGCCCCCAAAGCTTCAATAGCTACCTATTACCTCTAGGATAAAACACACACTCCCCTGCTTGTCATTTAAAGCCCATCACAATCTGACTCTATCCTAATTTCTGGGTTGATTACACTGTCATTCATTCTATGTTTCAGCCAAATGAGTGTATAATGCTATCCTTTGTGGACGATATTCTATCTCCCTTTTCTCTGACTTTATTTACACAGGCTATCCACTATGCCTGAAATATGCACCCTCTTCATCCTTGCTTCTTGCAACCCCTATCTCCTTTCATGGCTCAATTCAAGTCCCATATTTTTTTTTCTTGGTATCAGCACTTTTATTTTCCTAGACTTCAGGATTCATACATGCAAAATCTTTCAAGAGATCTTTCCTTATTCCACTTTTCAGTGTCCCTAGAAATAATTTACTTATTTTTCATATTCCTTATATTTCTTTACCTATGAATATGGTATTTCCCCCTGTAGAATGTAAGTTCCTTGAGGTCCTGGACTGCTTCACTTTTTAAAGAAAGTTATACCCTTAGCAGCTCAGTGGTAGGCAGAGAGGATAAATTAATAGATACTTGTTAATTGACTGAATAATCAATTATTGTAGGCATCCTGGGAATTAAACCTCAGGAAAATGTCTCAGTGCTTACATTGAGTAATTTCAGTTTGGTGTGCAAAGTATAAGAAAACATTTTTCTAAATTATTGTGACTAAGAGCATCCCATCGCTATTTATATACTAATATAAATCTTCATAGATCATAAGGAACTTGCCTAAATTTATTTAAACAGTGTAGGATCTGCTAGCCAGTAAGATTTTTTTTTCAGTAACATATGTTAGAGAGAGAAATTTTCTCTTGTTGTCTCTTTCTGTCTCTATTTTGAAATTTATCTTTAGTATCTAGAAGAATTTTTAGTGCCCCCTAACTGAATAATAATATAATCATAAAAATTATACTAACCATCCATTCCCAGGAGTCAGGCCAACACTGCCTTTGAAGAATGGTTCTACCTATTTGCAATTACATGAATTTCCAATTCAATGAAAATAATACATCTCATTTTGATTGAATCTTTTTTCACTCTTATAAATTAAACTTCTTTCTAGTGAGCTCTTGATGCGTATTTGGAAACAAATTCAAAAGAGGAGAACTGAGATGGAAAATAATATAACAGTTTCTTACAGATTATAACTAGCATTCCACGGCAAACCTGAAACCGAACCTCTTGTTAATGTTATCAACTTTCCCAGCATGCTTTGCTGACTGAACTACATTACTCTTCTTCTTTTATACAACCTGCTAAAGATGCAAAGGAGACCTTTGAAATCCACTCATTTAATTTCTGTTGGAAGCCAGAAACACCTAGAATTTATAGAGATAGTACATTTCCTTAGGGTGGTGTTTTGTATCAATGACAGTGGTGATTCTGTTTATCCTCATCTTGGGAATTCGGAGCAGGGAAGAATTAAGTAGGAGGAAAAGAGTAGAGGAACTAACCAGTATTTTAGTGTCTCCTGATTGACTTTTTGAGCTAAATCTGTATTTTTTGAATATTACATACCTCTCTATTTGAAATAAAATATTCTGGGACTATTTTTTAAAATTATGTTGTTTTTTTTTAAATATATGTTTTGGCTCCTGTGTTGACAAAAATTGTTGAGATGGTTATTAAGCCTCAATTTTGAAGTAAGAATAGTGCCTTTGTTATGTTTACCAGCACATCCAGTCATTATATTCCCACAAATTAAAATGCTGGAAAATCCAAAGAAAGACTGAGAAGTAAGGAAAAGTAGAATGTTGTAACTGATGAGGAGTGATAAAGTTTCTCACATACCCAAGGCAGTGCCAAGGGGTTCCACTTTTGAGTTATTGCTTTGTTTTTGTGGTGGCCCTGCATCCCAGCAGTTGGCTAGAGGGATAAGCAGCGGACTTAAATCGAGACGATCCTCCTCCCACCCAGATCTAAAGAAACATACTTCTAATAAATTCCCAGAGGCCTGGTTCAGTACTTGTCTTCTTTGCCATGAGACCAAGACCCAACAAACTGCACCTTAATTTTTTTATTTCAATAAATTTGTATTCAAATAGACATGTACTGAATGAAATGGCATTTAAATTAATAAAACAAAAGTAACTGAATAGAAAAAAGTCATAGATAGCAACATAGTCATTCTAGGAGACTTTAATGTTCTTCTCTCAGAGCAGGTCAAATCTAACAAAAAGTTATATAAAAAGGAAAAAGATAGAATTGAAAACCTCTTGGTAGATACAGAACTTAAATATATACATATTTATGTCATCTGAATGGGAACATCAAAAATATGTATACACATATATGTTTCTCAGCACCATATGGCAACTTCACAAAAATAGTCCAGGTGCTGTGGCTCACAGAAATGATAAATACAGAAAAGCAGAGATACTAAACACATACTTTACAAAGTAAACATAACAAAAACAGTTATGAACACAAACAACACTAACAAAAACAGACTGAAAGGAAATTTAATGATGACACTCTTAACAATTAGTGGGTTGAGGAACAAATAATAGAAATAATTGATAACTATGTAAAGATAATAATGGTGACACAACATATCAAATTGCTGATATATAGCTAACAATCAGCAAAGGAAAACATATCCAATGGAGAAATATTTTTAAGAAAATAGAAAAAGAGAATTAATGGACTGAATACGCAATTTTAAAAATTAGGAAGCTAACAGTCTTGTGAAGATCATATGAGGTAATATTTGCAAAGCCCTTAGCATGGTGCCTGGCACATAGTAGTTTCTAATAAATGTTTATATCCTTCACTTCCTCCCTTCTTTCCTCTTAACAATTAAACAAAGCCAAAATATGCACAAAAGAGAAAAGCTCAAAATTAGAGAAATAATAAAGTAGAAAACAAAAAACTACAGGTAGAACTCATTAACAAAATTAAAAAGTAGCTCAATTGAGAGACTAACAAAATTGATAAACTTTTAGCCACATTTTTTAAAAAAGGGAGAAAATAAAATTAATATAATAAAAATGAATACCAACTAAAGATCTTAATCCATTTTCTTTTTTTATTTAATAGTATTTTATTTTTTCCAATTACATTTAAAGACAATTTTTAACGTTCATTTTTTGAAAGCTTTTTTGTTCCAAACTTCCTCCCTTCCCTTCCCTTCCCCGTCTCCAAGATGGCAAGCAATTTGATGTAGTTTCTACATGTGCAATCATGTAAAATATATTTCCACTTAATCCATTTTTGAAAAGGAAATCTGACTAGTGGTAAAGGATCTACCCAATTAAAAAAAACCCCTTAGGTCCAGACTATTTAAAGGAGATTGCAATCCAATTTTTAAAGAATAATACCTATGTGGCATATATTGTTTTCAAAAATTAAAAAAAAAACTTCCTTTCACATTGTTCTTATGAGAAAAATATAATTCTAATACCTAACCCAAGGAAAGATAAAGAAAAGAAAGAGAACTATAGAGCAATATAATTAATGAATATCTATTACAATTTTAGAAATAACATGTTGGCAAGAAAGCAGTTATTACTAAATAGTGGCTAATTATCATCAATGGAGTCAGAATAGAAGAGGAAGCTCCTGAAAGAAAAGGGATCTGTGGCTTTAAAAAAAAAAAAGGTAAGGCAGTGTTTGTGAAAAAGACTGCTTTCTTCAGTGAGCCATGGCCCTGGAGAGGAAGAGGATCATTTTATTGGTGACTGACCTTATCCCATGTCAGGGCTCAAAGAGTAGAGGTACCCAGCCCTTGGATAGATGTCTCGATTTGGTGTTCAGTTGGCTGTATGTCTTCTCCTTTGGTTTCCCTCCTTGGGTATCATATTTCCTGTAAATAAATTGAAACCTGGGATCTGACAGGCAGCCACGAAACCTTAAAGCCTTTGCTTGCTTCAGCCCAGGCCTCCTAATCTAACTGCCACCTCCTCGTCAAATGCTGCAGCACTAAAACAGGACCACGGTTTCGAAGTTGACACCAATTGGATGCACATTTCATGGGGGCGATTGCTGGATGTGCACCCAGACCAGAATGAGATTGAAAGCTAACTCTCCTGGCCACAGCCCAAACCACCCTTTTCTAATGAGAGGCCTGCTTCCTTTCTCTTCCCCCCACCCCAACCTCATTTAAACTTGCCAAACCATCCCTGCAAGATCAAGAGCCCTGACCCTCTGACCCTCTGGCCCCTCGAGTGGCCCATCCTTTGTCCCTAGCTTCCTCTTCACACAGTGATGGAAAGCCCTGGACTTCTCCCTCTTTCCTAACCGACCTAGTCTTCTGATTCAGACTCCAGAATTACATTCCAGTTGACAGACTCTTGGGTGCCTCATTTTCTAACTACTATGAATCGCCCTTTACCTAATGAGATTTAGCCAGCTGTACCATGAAAGGGGCCCAGCTTTCCCTTTTCCTCTGTCTATAGCAGTGAGTAGTTTCTCCCCCCACAAAAACAGTTGCAATAAGGCAAAAGGTGATAGGGAAGACTACATGATTAAGGCTATGGTTTTGTTAGAAGAGGCTTTGATCTGGCCTTATCCCCAGATGCATAGGGGGAAAGGCAGAATGTAGGGGGGAAAGCACTGGTTAGGCAGTCAGGGGACCTGGGTTTGAATCCCTGGACTTCCTACCTGTGTGCCTTGGGGAAGCTACCTAACCTTTTTGGACCCTTTGGCCTGTAAAATGAGGGAGTTCAACTAAACCTCTAAGATTCTGTGATCTTGGGGCAGCTAGGTGGCCGAGTGGATAGAGCAGTGGCCCTGGATTCAGGAGGACCTTAGTTCAAATCCGGCCTCAGACACATAACACTTACTAGCTGTGTGACCCTGGGCCTACACCAAAAAATAAAATAAAAATTTAAAAAAAAATTTCCTATGATCTTAAGGGTCTAAAAAGGCATAGCAGCTCAGGGAAGATTGTACTTCATAATAATTCAGATTAGTAAAATACTGTGAGGTAAGGTAAGTTTTCTGGGTATGAATTGTGTGTCCTGCCACTTCAATTCAATTCAATAAACATTTATTCAATGCCTAGTATGAGCCAGGTACTGTGCTAAGTGGAAGGAGCGTGCACAGGAAGAAGAGTGCTCCTCCCTCCACCCTCAGCATGGTGACATCTTCTGTCAAAGTCCTTTCTTTCCCATGCTACTTATGGTTCTGCTAGAATCTCTCCTCTTCTCCTTTCATAGGATCCTCCACCTCCATTCCCAGTAATTGCTCTGATATAGCACATTCATTCTATTTTCAATCAAATGATTTCACAAGTATTTATTAAGTTCATATGTAAGGCAGTCTGACTCCTGGGTCAGCCTGTCTTTTATATCAGGTAAAGGGGGCAGGTGAAGTAGAAATACATGTAAAGTCATTCCTCTGCATATTTGGTGTTTTGGGAAGTTGTTTTTTTTCTTTTGCTTGTTTTTTTTTTAAGGGTTTTTGCCATGCATAGATGTCGATTACAGTTCAGGTCTCCAGAAAGAGCCGTAATTGGAGAATGCTTTGAAGGAGGGTTTGAGAGAAGCCATGGAAAAAGGCACAGAGAATATTACGTTTACTGAAGCCAAGGTAAAATTTGTGGGGATTTAGTAAAAGCCAGGCAGTAAGATATACTCTGGCAAGTGAGACAGAAATAGCAAAACTTTACAAGGACGTTCTCTGAAAACTAAGGTATATGAGGAAGCTAATTATAAAGGAAAGAGCAGCCTTCTATTCCAGTTAGGGATTAAATGAAACTATTTCCACCTCTTTGTATGGCCAGCCAGTTTGTCTCGTATCAGATCAAATGAGGCTTTTTGTTTGTCTTCACGGTATTGCGCCACCATGTTTTTTTTTAAAGCATATATCTGGCATTAAGTAAAAGTGAGTTTCTTTATAAAACAGAGGTAAATGAGGAACATTACAGTGTCATAGAAGGAAAACTGGACAGGAATTCAGTGTATCTATGGTTTAGTTCTGGTTATACGACCGACTAGTGGTATGATGTTGGCCATGTCACCTAACCTCTTTGGGTCCTAGTTTCTTCATTTGTGAAATGAGGGGGTTGAATGAGATGCCCCACCTCAACTTCCCTTTTCTGCCTCATTATCAGTAATTTATGTGCTTTGGGCAGTTTTCCTAAGAGTGAGGATATATCCACGTTGACCTAACACATTCCTTTGCTCAGTCCCCTTGGATACTTAACAGCATAATTTGTTGACGTGTTATAGACGATAGCGTCCTGGAATTGAAGTCCTGAAGACTTCCACTAGCTGTGTGACCCTGAGTAAGTCACTAATCCTCTCTGACTCTCAGTTTCCTCATCTGTAAAATAGGGCTAATAAGAGTGCCAATTTGGAAGAGTAGTTTTGAAGATAAATAAGATTATGTATTTAAAATCTTCTGCAGACCTTAATTAACCAATAAATATGTGTGTGCCTGCTATTACAATTATTGTTTATCCAATTCTATTCTTCAAGAGGACCAGTGACAGCATGAAGGTGATGTCTTGACTTGCAGATGAATTGGATTTAAGGGAGGCAGAGCTGCACAAAGTCATCAGCCTCACTCTCTCCTCCAGAATCATCAAAGTCCAATGGCAAAACAAAAGTCAAGACGACTGGCGATGGCCCAGGGCGCAGTGGGCGATGATTATTTGACAGGTGACTTGAGCTCACCAAGAGACCTACAGAAGTGGATGAGGAGAGGGTGGCACATGATGGCCATAAGAAGATACAGTGGCAGGCCATAACTTTCTATGAGGCACGCTCTCATTTACTGATGCTCTCTGCTACTATCTTTCCATTACCCGACTTTCCATACTCTGTCCTGACCTTGCCCATTGACTTTGGACTAGATGGTTCAGTGGATAGAGCACTGGGCCGAGAGTCGGGAAGACTTTATTTCAAATTCAGCCTCAGACACTTTCTAGCTGGGTGAAACTGGGCAAGTCACTTAACCCCTGCCTCAGTTTCCTTAACTGTAAAATTGGGATAATAATAGTAACTGCTCCCTAAGGTGGTTGTGAGGAGCAAATGAGATCATATTTGTAAAGTGCTTGGCGCAGGACATAGCACATAGTAGGCACTTAAATACTTATTTCCTTCCTTTCTTGTTCCTCGCTTAATCTTTCCTCTCAATCACAATTGATTATTGGCTTTCTGACTTTTCTTTCTCTTCAGCTGGACTCCAGCGCAATTTTCTGGTTACCATTTGGTTCAACCCTTAGACCACTCCTTTTTGTCTTCTTCCTCCCTCTACCACTCACTCTTTCTAGGCCAGTTATTATCTTTAATTACTAACTCTTATGACCCAGTTTGGGCATTCCCACTGAGAGATTAAGAGCCCTGGCTATGGTCCCTCCGCTATTTATGCTTGATGTGTGATAGAGTGTCTCAGCTCGTATTGGTATGATCAGCCACAGCTGGACCCACTGTGCATTGACCCTGACATGGTGATGTAATTTTGGTCCTTATCAAGCATGAAGGACAAAGAATGAAAACAACAGTATGTATAATTAAAACAACAACAACAGTATGTGTAATTAGAAAGACTTGAATGCAGGGTTTCCTGATTCCAAAACTGGCCCTCTATCCATTAAGACGTTCTCTCTCTCAATAACATCATCTCTAACAATAACTGACACTTACATATCACTTGACATACATGTTCTCATTTAGGCTCTACATCAACCCTGCTAGGTATGGTTTTTCCACTATCATTCTGCCCATTTTACAGATGGAAAAAGTAGTCTTGGAAAAGTTAAATGACTTATCCATAGTCAAATGTCTAGTAAGTTTCAGAGGATTTGAATCTAAGTCTCCCTGACTTTAGGCCTAGCATTTTTTTTTTTTTACAGTAAAAAAGGCACAGAGTCGTATGAGAAGGACAAGATTACTTTTGGCTAGGGTGATAAGGGAAGACTTCATGGAAGTTCTTTGAGTCTTGCAGCATTTCAATTTTGAAGAGTGGCTGGGACTTAATTAGGCAGAAGTCTCCAGATCAGTGACTTCCCTGTCTCTGGAAAAGTGAGAGCTAAAAAATACAGTAAGTGAAGGGTAGAACATGTTTTGAGAATGACAAGGGTCCATTTGGCCAGTGCACAAAGTACCTGAGGAGGGGGACTGGGAAATTAGGCTAAGATTAAATACTATACTATGCCCTGCCTCGTTTCCAAGTAGAATGGAAATTTCTTAAGGGTAGCGACCATTTTCTTTTGCTCTTTGCATCCTCCCTAGCACTGTGCTATGCCTGTACTAGGTACTTAATAAGTATTTTTCAAATTGAATTGAATACTAAAGGGTTTGAGCTTCATTCAGTAGGCAATGGGGAACATGAGACACTTTTTGGGCGAGGAAATAGGGATGTAGGAAAGCTTTAACCATAAAATAATAGAATCTTGAATTCAGAAGGGACCTCAGAGGTCATAGGGCCTCACCCATAGGTTGACAGGAATCTCTTCTACAACATCCACAGCAATTCGTCATCCAGGCTCTGTCTGAAGCCCTCTAGTGATGAAGAACTCACTACCAGACGAGTGGGGAAGTTCAATTGATGGTGTTGGCAGCGGAAATAGGGAGGAGGTTAAAAATATTGCAGATATAGACTCAGCAGCACTTGGTAATTGACTGGATGCTGAGGGTGAGTGGAGGAGAAGAGTCAAGGATAACTGATGGTTTGAGCCTTGGAAATTGGAATAATGGCAGTGTCAACTACAGAAAGAGGGTGATCAAGCCCAGTGTGGGGGTGGTTTTAGGGTCTACTCTGCTGTATTCTGCCACCCACAATTGTTCTTCAAAGGTAAAATGAAATCATATTTGTAAAGTGCTTTGTATATCTTGAAGTGCTATAAAAATGCGAGTGTTATTATTATTTATATTAGATGTCAGAGAGACTTCCTAAAAATTCCCTACATAGGGAACTTTATTGTGCCCACTCTTCCTACTGATTCAGAATTTTTTAGTGGGAGAGTGCACTTGAGGTTTATGGGGAGAGATGTATTGCTACCATTTTTACTGTACCATTTCAGTAAATGCCTTTGTTTCAGGCGAATTTTGTCCTTAAGCTGCCTAGAACAAAAGGTAAATGTACCACTGTGAGCTTGTGAGATATAGACTTGAGAGGGAATACTCATAGAATACCTTGAACCTGGGGTGGCCATTCCCTAGGGGACCCAACCTGTGAGTGAGAATTGGGGGGGATAGGTCAGGAGGGGACAATACATTCCACTTTAGAAATGCATTCATTCATTCATTCATCCCAGCCCTATATGTCATCCAAGGA